AATTTTAAGGCATGTGGACTTCAACTCCCAGAATTCCACAGCCAGCAATGCTGGCTGTGGAATTCTGGGAGTTGAAGTCCACATGCCTTAAAATTGTCAAGGTTGAGAAACACTGCTCTAGATGACTATGGATTATCTTCTGAATCATAGGAAGCATACCTTAAATGTTACTTGGGAAGAAGAAATGCTGGAAGAAGGCCAACTATCACCTTTTTGTCCATGCTAATAAGTGTCCCAAATGTATCTTTGACTACTATGTGACAAAGAAAGCTAAAATAATAAGCCCATGATTTACTCCTGCAGAAATCTTACTTCTGAGATCAGTAAACTCTGCTTCCAGATACAAAGCAGGTCTTTATTTCTCTACCAACTTAGTATACTTCTCTGCTCCTATTTAGGAAACCAGAATGGGCATCCTCCTTTCTTATCAGCCAGATTCCCTCTGATATTATCACTTACCACTCCACGTTCCCAGATGACAGCCATACGGTCCTGTACCCCACTGACTCCATGGGGGATCTTAGTGAAGTCTTCCTTCCCCATTGCCTTCTGTTTAGTGGTGAAAGGCCGGTGATCAGAGGCGACAGCATTCACAGTGTCACTGAGGAGAAAGATAAACAGAAAGGAAGACATAGGATAAGTCCCAAGTACTGTTTGTTGTGCTGATATTTCACCCCAGATTTCACATGAGTTTTGGGGTTGAATGGTTTAAAAAATTCATAAATGAATGAATGAAGGGTCACAGACTTTCCCTTTCAGATCTGCCCTTTTCTATCCCTTTTAGATTACGTTGCAATTGATTCTTCAGGCATTATCTAGAGTTAAGTAATCCAAAGCTTCTTACTTGGCAAGCAAACTCATGAGGTAGGTGGAAGTGTTTGTATCTAGCCGCAAGGGTGGCACTGTGACGTAGGCTGCTGCATGGGACCAGTCCTGGTGATAGTAGTGTAAGCCTGTTAACGTAGTGTGTGCTGTGGTGGTCTCTGCATACACAACCTTCCCTGCAGGTAAGAAAGGGGAGAAAACATTGAACCGCAAGGAGTTAGATCCAATCTTTTTAAAGTGTTCAATACATTATAGGGTGATAAGTAGATGAGGCGACTCATCAGTCTTTATCTAATATTGAATTATCTGTATAGGGTGAGTAAACGCCTGGGAAAGACTTTGAGGAAACTGAAGGTAGGAGATTGGAAGAGGAAAATAGCACTCTTTGTAATGCCACATTTAAATATATAGCTATTAAAATGTAGGAAAAGGTTCTGGAACCAGGAGGGGGTAAATGGAAAGAGGGGATTCAAAGCCTTCTTTCCAGCTGTTATGAAATAATAATAAACACCATGTATTTTGCATTAGGTGGTGGTCTTTGCACTCAGAATCAGAAGTTGGTTCTCACCTTGCATTTTGGCTGTGGCTATAACATCCCCGGCAGACATGCTAGACACGTTGACCAGATAGACAGGGCAGTGAGTCTGCCAAAAGAGGAAAAAGGGGGAAAGCATCAGACTGAGCTGTGAACTATGTTTCACAGTAGGATGTATACAGAAGGGTACAAAACATTCTACCTTCTTGCAAGGAGTTGGATAATGAAAGTAGCCAATTAGGAATCAAGTGGCCTGACATTAGGAATCAAGGAATCAAGTGGCCTGACATAGTATAAGATCAAGGAATCCACCCAAGAAATTTCCTTGAAAATAAGCTTGTAGTGGATATAAGGGCTCATCCATTAGCATTAAGGTGGGTAAATTTGGTTCCCCAGGGAAGAATGAGGAGGGCTGCACTTACCCGATTAGCAATGGTGATGACACGATGTGTAGCTTCCGCCTCTAGCTGCAATGAGAAAAGGACATGAGACAGGCAAAATATAATGCATGCTACTTCTCTGCTATTAATAGCACATGTGTGCTAAAAAAAACCCTACCATATCCCCATCACTCAAACAATGTTCAACTATTTTAAAGTCAGCTTGAACAACTGACAGCTTTATGGTAAGGTGTTCTAACTACAAGATGCCAATATAGACAGGAATAAGACCCATACTGTGCTACAAATAGCAATTAAGTCAGTGAGCAGAGATAATCATCTCCTGACCTGTTGACTGGGGAGGGGGATTTTCCCCCCCCATATCCAATCACATAGGTTTATGGGATGAGAGAGGATGGAGCAATTTCTGACTGCAGGATGCATGAGTGTGTGTACATATACCACATGGCATTTTTACCTCTTCTGGTCGACTGATCTCAATTCCCTCTGGACCAGTGATGCCCAAATCCAGAGCTTCCCTAGCTCCCTGTACAGAGAATCAGAACAAAAAGTTCAGAATCGACACAGTGGTATCCTTTTTTTTCTTCTTGCTTTTTATACTTACACAATTTGAAACCAACATCATAATCTGGAATGGCAATGCATGATATAAAGGGATTGTCTCCCACTTCACATTTTCAGTGCCTGTGATAGCTGAGATGGTGATTCCAATCCACAATTCTAATTATGTGTGAAAATAAATGGGTGATAAGGATTCTGGATTAATGAGAGCATGTCTGCATGGATAGTGTAAACTGCTTGCGGAAATGCATCCAATTGTTCAGAAGACACTAATGATAAGAAGAATGAGAATATGTGTGGGACAAGGACAGGCTTTGGAAAATTCAGGAAAGGGTGATGGAGAAGAAGACTTGCCCATCCAAACAAGCTGCATCCTGGAAAAGCGGCAACACTTTGAGACCATCCACATTTATGAAAACAGTGGAGCTCAGATCTATCTAAGGGGGTATTATTGGACCCACCCTACCATCCTCCAAAGCAGCTTACCTCAGCCACCAGCTCGCCATTCTCAGCATGAACACGTGCGATAGCTCCAATATCTTTGCAAGCACGGAACACCTGGTACAGCTCACTGTCTCGGAGCATGTACAAGTCTTTGTATGTCATGAACATCTGGAAGGAGTTGACACCCTTCTCTCGAACCAAAGTTTCCATTTCTGATTTTACCTAAGATACCAGGAGGGATGGGATTAAGAAAGAGTTCGTTAATCACCACTTGTAATTTTAAAGAAGTCCTGCAGACAATAATATCCTGTCTATCCACTCATAGACAGAAATGATAGGAGAATGCTGCATGTAACTGAAACTCAGAATTCAAGGTCTCCAGAACTGCCAAATAAAAAGGTGAAAAAGATCCATGACCACAGGATAGAACCTGCATTTTAAAATTTGCTTTCTTGTCATTCCAAGTTGTATCCTAAATAACTCATCACTTGCTCTGAGCAAGAAATTTCATGCCATGTTGGTGCATAATAATTTGTTTAAAATCACTCAAACTTTTGTTTCAAGAATAAAATGTTATGCCTTAGCTCTGCACTGCTACATATCTGCATGCCGGCTAGACAAGCTCTGTGACAAAGGACAGCCATTGTAATTCTTGTTCAGGTGCCCTGGGTTTTTCAAAAATGTCCTTTCTCGGGTTCATCTGCTCTGCTTGAACCTGACTTTTTCATAGAAAAATTCTATGAAACACTTTCATTATAAAATGTTAATCATCGGCGTGAAAAGTAGAATATAAAACAATAAATCGTATAAAGTTACACATAAATGTATATAGGTAGTCCACAACTTATGATCACAACTGAGTCCAAAACGTCTGTGGTTAAGCAAGACATTTGTTAAATGAGTTTTGCCCCATTTTACAACCTTTCTTGCCACCGGTATTAAGTGAATCAGTGCAGTTGGCTTTGCTTGTCAGAAGGCCACAAAAGGTGATTCACATGACACCACCCCCAGGGCACTGCATCTGTCATAAATATGAATCAGTTGCCAAGCATCTGAATTTTGATCACTTGGCTATGGAGATGCTGCAACGGTTGTAAGTGTGAAAAACGGTCATAAATCCCTTTTTTCAGTGCCATTATTTGAACAGTCAGTAAATGAACTGTTGTAAGCTGAAGATTACCTGTGTATGATATGGTTGTCAATGATTCACATGCAGCCTAAAAGGAAAAATATTCCACAATATTCTATAACCATAAGCTCTAGAGCAGCTAGCTACAGCTTGCTCCTTCCTTCTCGGTCACCATTAAAAAAAATAAAAACAAAAGATAGCCCTGAAATTGGTACAAAGGGGCTGAGAGCTAGACCCTCCATAAAGGACATAGGGGCAGCTTTTCTTGGGATGCTCACAAGGTCTTTAGAAGAAGGAGGACCAAAACTGACAATATTTTAAACCAACTTAGCAAAATGCCAAATGCAAGGGGAAATCATAGCACAGCTTACTGCCTGCAGAATTAGAAGCAGTAATGAATGAACCTCCCAAATGGGTTAATTGTAAAGTGTGCTACATAATTTACAGTCATTGAAAAGCCATTCTGGAACTACAAATTTAAGCACAAAGTGAATAAAGTGTTTCTGCTTATTACCTCACTATTCCAAACTAGTCTTTCTCCAGCTATCTGTTTCCAAATGTACTACACTACAAATCAACAGTTTCTAGACAGCATTGGAGTTTGTGATTCTGGAAGTTGTAGCCCTGTGCTCAACTTGGAGAAGGTTCCGTGTTTCTTCTTAAACTTCTGGGACCATCCTTGGAGGATAGAGCTTCCAGAGAAGAAGATTAAGAGCAGAGTGAACAACAGTGAAGAAAAGACAGTACAAGCAGTCAGAAACTGAGGGTGGTTGGACTAGAAATGATTGAGGTACAGACCCAAACAAAAGACTACTGTAACCTCAGTCACCCAACCTGGACAAGATGGCCAAGGGATGGATGTATATAACCCAGTAGGTATGGTCTGTAATTCCTGAACAAGCTCCAGATGTTTGAGGCTAAATACATCCTATCTAAGAGGAGCTGCACAGGGGTCTGAGTTGAAGTAGATCTCAGCAGATGACAGCGTGAGGACAGGACCTGGGCTATTGGGCCATGATTATCATTATTCGTGGCTTTGGGGTGGATTTCCATCAGTACGCTGATGATACGCAGCTGTACATTTCCACCCCAGGCCACCCCAACGATGCCCTTGACGTGATGACCCGTTGCCTGGAGGCCGTACGGGTCTGGATGGGGAGGAACAGACTCAGGCTCAACCCTTCCAAGACTGAGTGGCTGTGGCTGCCGGCGCCTCGGCATAGT